TGCTGTCTTTGTTAAAACAAATAATACATTTGTTGCATGGTTTGTTTAAATTAGGAATATGAGACTGTGATGAAGGGGTTGGACAGGAACGCCCCCTCAGTACCTCCCCAGAACTCCCCTCAGGAATCCCAGCAAGTGGACATGTGGAAGAAGTACATCCAGTGGGAAAAAAGCAACCCACTGCGCACAGAAGACCAGACCCTCATCACAAAGAGAGGTGACTTATCACTGTTAGGATGTGTTGTGTTGGCAGTTAAAATCCCTGCTGTATATGCGCTGGGGCCTGTGATTCCAGTAATCACACAGCTATACAATTTTAATAATGTCCTGAGCATCAGTCAATGGAGGTACATTTATGTATGAAGCTTTTCTCCGGTAAGCACCACTAGAGGGCGTAGGTTGACACTTATGAACAGGGGTGTCAAACTCAATTTCATCGTGGGCCACATCAGAATTATGGTTGCACTCAAAGGGCCAGTTGTAACTTTAAGACTATATACATATATATCAAATAATGTATTATATTACATTATTGCCTCTGCATTGGATTATTATAGGGTAATAACTTCATAATTAACTACATCTGAAAGCCGAAGTCTAGGGCAAATAATTGTCAATAACATGTCACAAAATGAGATGCATTGTGGTTACGGGCAACGTACTTCTGTAAAGCGGCATGTAACCGTATAATAAACGTATTGTATTCTTTGCAAGCGCTTGCGGGCCACATAAAATGATTTGGCCCGCGGGCCTTGAGTCTGACACCCCTGCTTTAGAATCTTAATTTATGAATTTAAAGTCAATCACCATTGTGTTTTGCAGTGATGTTTGCCTATGAGCAGTGCCTGCTGGTGCTGGGCCACCATCCTGACGTCTGGTACGAGGCAGCACAGTACCTGGAGCAGTCCAGCAAACTGCTGGCAGAGAAAGGGGTAAGAAGTTTAAAAAACCTTTCCCACTGTTTAGTGTTCTTCAGTACATCTCGAAAGGCTCCTATAATTCTCTAAACTTTTTTCTTGCAGGACATGAATAATTCAAAGCTGTTTAGTGACGAGGCTGCTAACATCTATGAACGTGCCATCGGGACTCTTCTGAAGAAGAACATGCTGCTTTACTTCGCATTTGCCGACTATGAAGAGGTGAGGGTCCACTCAGCACAAATTGAGATCGGTCACAGTAAGAAACTGGAAGCCTCATCAGCGTATATCTTCTGCTTTCCTCATAGAGCCGCATGAAGTACGAGAAAGTTCACGGCATCTACAACAAACTGGTGACCATCGAGGACATCGACCCCACGCTGGTCTACATTCAGTACATGAAGTTTGCCAGGAGGGCGGAGGGCATCAAGTCGGGTCGCACCATCTTCAAAAAGGCCCGAGAGGATCTGCGCACACGTCACCATGTGTATGTGACTGCAGCACTGATGGAGTACTACTGCAGCAAGGTAAGTACACATGATCTCATGTTGAGTATATACCTGGTGAAAAAATGATTTGGTTGAACCATTTTTCGTCTTTTTCCAACAGGATAAATCAGTGGCCTTCAAGATCTTTGAGCTTGGTTTGAAGAAATACGGTGACATTCCAGAGTACATCCTGGCATACATTGATTACCTCTCACATCTTAATGGTAGGTTAAGTGTAATAATAAAAAGTGTAAGGAATAAAGTCTGTTCTACTAATCCAGTGATATAGTGCAAGGAGCAGTTAGTAATGTCCTGGTTTCAGCATTTGAAATCCAATATTTCTCCTTTAAATATCATAGTTAAGTTATATAAATGTCTAAACCTGTTGTTTTTCTTTCTTCCTTTGATGTTTCGGTCTCCAGAGGATAACAACACAAGGGTCCTGTTTGAACGTGTCCTCACATCAGGAAGCTTGTCAGCAGAAAAATCAGGGTAACGTCAAATAATGATTACATTTTGTGAAAGTATTTAAATGGAATAATCCTAAATACCTCTGAAGACATTTGATTGTTAATTTTTGTTTTCCTTCATCCTTCAGTGAGATCTGGGCTCGGTTTCTGGCCTTTGAGAGCAACATAGGAGACCTGGCCAGTATCCTGAAAGTGGAGCGCAGGCGTTTCACTGCCTTCAAAGACGAGTATGAGGGCAAAGAAACAGCCTTGCTTGTAGATAGATACAAGTTCATGGACCTGTATCCCTGCTCTGCTAGTGAACTCAAGGCCCTCGGATACAAGGTGTGTATTTGGCTTTTATAAATTGCTAAACATGCTATATTTCGCTGTTAGAGCAGTTTTACTAATGAATAAAGGCTTATCTAGAGGCTTTTCCTTCAACTCGTATTCAAACGATTTCCCCTATGTGTTTGTAGGATGTTTCTCGTGCCAAACTGGCAGCGCTGCTACCAGAAACCGTGGTGACGCCCTCTACGCCGGCACAAAAGGATGACGCTGATCGTAAACCCGAGTACCCCAAACCTGACACCAACCAGATGATTCCCTTCCAGCCACGTCACCCTCGCCCGTACGTAGCCTATTGATGTAGTAACAAATCAGGGAAGCTCTGTGATGAAGAATTACGTCACACTGTCTCTCTTACAGTAATATTTCACATAAAAGGATCCCTCTTTGATGTAGCCTCTTGTGTTCACCCCCCCCCCCCCCCCCCCCCCCCCCCCCCCCCACAGCTCCAGGTTTACACCCTGTCCCAGGAGGAGTTTTCCCAATCCCCCCAGCTGCTGTTGTCCTAATGAAGCTGCTTCCTCCGCCTACGTGCTTCACTGTGAGTAGCAGCAGTTTAATACTGTTTAGCTCATATTTACTGCTAATGGATACTAGATGAAAGGAGCTTTTCTAAGATACTGTAATGCAATACGTTTTTGATTATTTCTTTCTTTCACTGCAGGGACCCTTTGTTCAAGTGGATGAGATGATGGAATTATTCAGGAGATGCACACTTCCTGAGAGTAAGTCCGATCTTTTGGTGAATCCAGACTAGTTCTATTTTTAGACACACTAGCAACGTGGCTCTGCTGAAGGAAATGTCCGTCAGATGTGTGGGCGGTCATCCAGTGATGAAACACTTGGATCCAGAGTGAAATATCTTAACAGCTTTTAAATGAATTGTCAGAAAAGGTGTTGTAATTCCCCTCATGTGACATGTTACTGATGTGTTTTCTGTCTCCTTAGCGGTTGAAGCTGCTGTAGAGCTGATCACTGGTAAACTGCCAGATGCAGGAGGGGAGGGCAATGGCTCCATGGAGAACCATGCTGTTGCCAAGTCACTGAAGAGGCCTAACGCAGACTCCGACGAGGAGGATGACAAAGGAGCTGTGGCTCCACCCATACACGACATCTACCGCGCACGCCAACAGAAGAGGATTCGATAAACCAACTGAAACACACACACACTAAACCCTTCGAGAATGTAATCTTTACAGGTGGCCACATCGGCTAAATGTTCATGTCCACATTTCTGAGTGTCTGACAGATTATACATCCATTTATCTCTGTACAAAAGACAAGCATACAACACACACACACTCGCAGACATACACACAGTATGTATACCTGAGTGTTCTCGTGGCTTTTTTTGTTTGTTAACAGTTTTTATTTTTAAAGACTGATCATTATACTGTACAAACTTTTTAATTCACGGTGAATTTTGGCACACAGATCAGTTTTGGCCTTGTGATGTTCCGGTGATAGGGAAGGTGGAATCAAGCTTTTTTTTTTAGATAACTGGAGAAAAAACGAAATTCCTTTCAATAAAAATGGAAAAGAATTAAACCGATTTGCTTTTTATTTCACTTAGTTGAACTGATGCTTTATGCTTTATTGCTGTTTTTCAAACTGACTGCATTTTATCAAGACTTCTTTTTTAGCCAACTCATGCCAGGCCTTCCACTAGAGGGCAGCTTTTGACACTTAGATGAAAAGCTCAAAAATCATTTTTGTGATACAAACTTAAATATTTACTTTCAGCTTTAAATTATTAATGCATATTTCCAGACAGTCCGTTACTTGAGAAAAACTATTACTTGATTGGAGAAAATATCGTATTCAGTGAACTCTTCAATGTCAGCCAGCTGCTTATTTTCACATTGACCTGATGACATCATTATTTGTCTGCCTTGCAAAGCCTTTGTTCTGAGTGTTTGGCAGCCTAGTTTAGTCTGTTCACAGGTTACACTGGAATAAACTGAACACCACTCCTCTTGCAATATTAACATGTTGTACATTTGAACAATTTGAGTCTTTCTACTGCTCCGAAAAAAAGTCTAACATTGTCTTCATGTGTTTGTATTGAATAGCTTCTGAATGATAAACGTTATAGTTGTAGTAGGGCACCCCACCAAAACGACCTGTCAATCAAAGGGATGCTTGTTGGCCGTTTCTCATTTTCACGTTAGCTGTGAATTTGAAAAAGCCATTACAGCTAGAGAAATGTAAATCAAACTTGTTAAGAGTTAGTGATTTTTCTATCTAGCATTAAAGGTGTGTTTAATGTAAGCTGTGAACAATGTTTTATCCAAAGTCTCGGAAAGGAAAGCACCGCTCATTTCCATATTTGAGTTTATATTTCAACAGGACTCCTGAGGTGTTGAGCTGAAGCCCTATTTGTTTCGTATTTAAACATTGACGTATGAGAAACAGTTAGGTGAACTCCACATTGCAGAAATATCTTCCTTAAAATGTTACCGATACAAATATTTGTATCTTATATAAAACACAATTTCACAGGTTTTTCAACTGGAAACTTCAATAGCATTAAACAGGCCTAGATTTCACAATTATGCAACTCTGTTTAAACGTAAAGGTAGGATACTTTATGTCAGGTATTAACAGGAAAAGCTCTAGGCAAGGCCCGTGTTCAGTCAAGTAAGAATGGACACAGTGTACTAGAGACTGCCTCAGATGTGAACATGTTTTGTGTTGTATTTATAAATGATTCGATTCACCAATTCCCTTTTGTTATCTTTCAGAATAAAAATGCTTTTGTCTGCATTGAAAAAATATGCAATGTACATGTTTGAATGTTTGACAATTCTAGATGCATTTTATTAAGATTTTCCAAAATACAAACAAGATGTGAGTGGTTTAAAACTTAGTCTGGGGATGAGTTCGTCACTTGGAAATGTGGAAGTCATTTCCTCATCTTATTATAAGGAATACATAAACCTTTGTCAAAACAGAACCCTAAAGATACCACTAAAACGTGGATAAGGTTTAAATAAAAAAATAAAAAATACAAACATCTGTTTTTCTGAGAGTTGCAACACATAAACCCAGAGGGCTGATTCACATAAATGCCTCTGACTTTTTGCTATAGAATAACATCAGACTTTCAAATTTCCAGGTTCAAATTTCCGTTTGAGACATAACTCTACTGTGCATCACATTGTGTATGAGAAACCACATGAACAGAACATCTGTATGCTAAGACTGTTCCTATTGCACTATAACACACAGAATACATCCATTTAAAAGGGATATATGCAGCCTGAATGCCATCAAGACACACTGCAGACACATAAATAACTGACAAGGACATTTCATGTTAGTGTCCTGCACCAAAGAAAATATCTAAGAAATGAAATATGTCCTTAATTGTCGTAGCTTATTGCGAGTCTCCACATTTGAAAATTCACATTTTTTTCAGTAGTCTAAACTATTTACATATTAGCAAATATAATCCACTTACTAACTGCACATCTGCATGTCATTTAAATCACATTAGCTTCTTTCATGTACGTATTTTTTACATAATTATACATAAATTGTTAAACTGACAAATATCACTTTAGCAACATGTTGACACTGGACAATCTATTTCCAAAGTACTGAACAAAAAGCTCAGGGTGGCCTTTGTAAAACTGTCCAAGCAGCCGTCTCTTTTCTTTACTGGAGAGTTGTGGGTTCTCGTGGACAGTGCGGAGTAAGGACCAAAGTTCCTCTTTAGTGGTTTTTTGTGCATTTTCCGAGTAGGCCATAGCGCTCACTCTTGTGCAGTGTGACGATCCTATAAAAAGAGATAGTGAAAAACAGAAATTAGGTCTAATTTATTCGTACCAAGGCAAAGTGTTTTCACGTTTCATACTTTTGGCTTTTATGTTGTAAACAATAAATATATAAACAAGGAAAATCAACAAACCTGTTGTCACTTCTGGATCCTTGCCTTTTACAATATTTATTATTCTGTCACTGACCATTTTGTGTAATGAAACAGGAATCTGGTGGAAAAGAAAGCAGCATCAGACACAAAGTTTCGCAAACAGTCACAGATACATCTGATTCAGGAATTATCTTTCAAATAATATCTGACATGATTGTTGAAATCATGCAGTCTGTGTAAAAGTGCATTTTATTGACCCGACCCAACGACTTTACTGATTGTTTCATCCCTCCTACAAAATCAGATGCAAGCGTACACACGGGCTCAAATATAAATGAGTATTACTAACCTTGAACAGATCGCAGTGCTTATCCATCATGAACAGAACCATCAAGGCCACCTTTCCTTTGGAGAGTCTTCTGCTGTAGACGATGGCACTCGAGAAAGACCTTTTCACCGCCATTCTGTTCTCAATCTGAAAGACACATATTAAGCGTTAACAAAGCTCAAACATACGCATGTTCTGACTCATGCGAGAGGCACACAAGCACTCACCTCTTTGTGCAGTTTGACCTCCTGGGATTTGGCTGCGACAGCCATGAATCTCAGGAGCCGGCGCAGCTCCTCCCTGCTGCGAGAGTCCTGCAGCTTCAGGCTCAGCTGCAGAGCCTCCAGAGCCTGCTCCTGCTTGCCATTCACTGACAAAACAAACAAACATACCAGGATTCAAATGCTGAGCTTGCTTGTCCTTTTGATTAAACCGGCATTGGCAGAAACATATGACACCTGCCTTTAGGATCAAATACGTTTAAATCTGATTTATTGATCCCAAATTGTAAAAGTTATTGTATTGTATACGTTTCAGCAGCATGTTAACATGAGTCAGATCAAATAAAAAAAACAATAAAAGTAGAAAAGTATATATCTTTAGAATACACTAGATACAATATACAGAATAAGTAAGAATACACTATAATAAACCAACCAACTACTTGAAAAAATAGTGTGTGCAAAGTAGTGTTTGCTTTTTTAGTTAAAATTAAAATGCAATGAAGAAGAGTAGAATATATACAGATTGTTGAGGGTCATTTAAAAGGAAAAACATGTGGCATCTGGTCAGAAGATAGACAAAAAAGATAAATAAATAAAGCTGAAAAAATAAATAAAGCTGTATGCATCATGAAAGCATTACCAAGCCTCATGCAAACAAAAGGAGTCCAAAAAGATCTGCTCTTACCGAGTAGCTCCGAGATGCCGGAGTGGATGTCGAACACGTGGTTGCTGAGCAGAGGAGGCTGCTGCGTGTTTCTGTAATGCTGAACCAAGACCTCGTAGAGCAGACTCTTACACCGCAGCAGGTCATCGGCACACCCGGCCAAACCTCGACTGACCTCCACCACCAGATCATCGGGAAGGAACTCCAGACAGTCCACCGCTCCGGACAGCCACTCATCATCCCTGAGGAGAGAGGGGAGTTCTTTTAAATACTGCCCACAGATTGGTCAAAGTGAGGGAGCGGGAAGGCAACAACTGAAAAAAGAAGGTCAGATAAGCGGTTGACCCTCAGGGATTTAGTAAGAACTTGACTGCTCCCAATAAGCATGGATTTGGTCATTGGTCTGGTTAAAATCTGGTAAAGCTCAATCTGACTTTAAGTTAGAAAGCATGGCAACACACCAACAAAAAGTCCCTATATACAAATGTGGTTATGGGTTGTATTAACACATGTTTGTAAAGCAGCCAGTTAAGAGTAATAAAACCTGAAGATTAGGACTGATAGCTCTTAAGAAACATAGATTGGAGGGTTAAATGACACTTTCTTGAACATGTAGAAGCTTGAGAGAGCTTACTGTGCTTCACTGAAGGCCTTGAGAACTTCTCGGTCGAGGTAGCTGGATGTGTACAACAGGTCGGGGTCGCTGTCCATGCTGTGCAGGGGAGGCCTCGATGCTTCTTTACCATCCAACAGCTTCTCCAACAGAGGGAGCTCTATTAGCTGCAGCAGCCTGAACACCGCCTGCTGCTGCCACACCTCATCAACAACTGTGAAAACACACAGTAAAAAGCCATTAGGGTCAGGTTCTCAGAGAAGTGTGACTAAACATTTGCTACATGGAAGAAAAAAAAAGGTGCAATTTCAAAGTCATTGGTGTCAGATTAAGACTCCTTACGCTCTTGTGAGAGGCCGAGGTTGATCATCTGAGGGGTGATGGTGGAGCTGAGGTTGAGGTTTTCCAGCACGTCCTCCAGTGATTTGTCTGATTTTACAGGCGAGTGGGTGGAGTAGCTCTGCACCTCTAGTCTGAAGAGTCACATAATAACAGCAATCAGTGAAAATGATTGGGGGGGGGGAGGAATAGACAATTCACAGGAACAAATGTGGCATTAGGGTGCAAACGACTTATAGTAACTGTGATTGAGTCACAATTAACAGCAGTATTGATTCCGGTAAAATAAATGCTCTATTTCCAGCATTGTACAATTTCTGATTTACCTTAAATAGGACATTAACATTATTTTCTTTCAGATTTGATTTGAAACATGTTGCAGAAAACACTTTAAACTGTAAGAGCACATGGCTCCTCTGAATCTTTCGTCTCCCATTAGCGATGCCTGTTCTCTTGTGATGAGCTTTCACTCTCACAGCAACACAAAGTACAGAGGCCATGTGTTAGCACCTCGGGGGCAATAAAGCCTGTCTGTCTTTACACCGTGATCAACAACCTCCTGAGCAATTTACTTCCAGCCTCAAAGTAAACAGGATCAACTTTTAGTTAAAAGTAATATAATATATAATATAATTGTTCACTGTCTTGCTGCGAGTTAGAGGAGATGTTTGATATCATTTTCATGTCTATACGGTAAATTTGAAGCCACGGCCAGCCAGTTAGCTTAGCTTAGCACGGGGTACGGAAAAATAGGGGAAATAGCTAAAAAAGTTTCAGTAACAAAATCTGCTCTGATCTACAGTTCACCAATTAATAAAGAATGTTTATATTTAAAATGTGCAACACATTGTGGTGTAATATGGCTATGTATGGGACAAGCTATTTTTTGTCTCAGAAACTTCCTGAAATCACCACCTAAAGCCGGGCAAGAAGCACAGAACCTCTGATGAATAAATACTTTTTTTTACATCTACGGATTTTATATAATAAACAAACAAGTTATATCATTTTGATCAGTTAACTTTGGTTAGGCACTATAAGGGCACATAAGGGAAAGTGCCTTGTGGATTTATATCTGTTATGTCTTTTTGATTTTGCTAATTCAAATCTGTATTTAAACTCAAGTCCACACATTGGTAATGAGGGTTATTGGAATGTAAGAGTATCAAGACATGACAGCATGATAAGACTTTAAGAGACCCCGGTCATGCCTCACTAGTTTCCAGAGGCGCCCTGTTTAATCTATACTAGATTAGCTCTGGAGGAAGGAGAACAAAGCAAATCAAAAATTAGATCTAAAGATGTTGTGACATGAGTCTGTACCGTTCACGCGATGGACTGTTCTTGTTCCTGTTCATGCCCGGTGAGTCATACCCGCTCTCGATGGTGCTGGTGGAGTAAGAGTTGGTGTTGGTCAGAGACGATGGAGAGACGTTTGCCGGGCTCAGGAACCTGTACAAACTGCAGCTACTGTCCTCAAATGTGGCTGTCTTCTTTTCCTTCCCAAATACTTTAATGCCCACAGGCTCAAACGCCCTGGAGTCCATGAGGGCCTGACAGAGACGGACGGCCTTGTAGCGCGGCACCTCCTCATCACCGAAGAAACGGCTCAGCGTGATGTGTGCCAGCACCACGTCCACGGCCTCTGAGCCCAGGAAGCAGTCAGGGTAGGACTTGAGGTTGTGCCGCCGGCGCTTGACCTCCACCCGAGAGTTGAGATTGGAGATGATGCTGCTCCAGATAAAGGTGGCCCGGAAAGGATTCCCAGCCATGCTTGTTGCTGATGGAGGAAGAGGAGAGGAGAGTCAGTGGATGGAGGGAGGGAAAGACAATGAGGGGTGTGGAAATTAAGGCTCAAGTGGAAGTGATAAACTCCTAAATCAGCCATGGTGCCAGCTGCACAGTTTTTACCCAAATGGCAAAGATAACCAAGCAATGACAAAAGGTTAACGCAAAAATACACATGTGGAGTAACTATAAAATCTACTCCTGCCTGAAGAGTTAGTCGATTGATTAATGAGTAAATCAACAGACACTTCATCAACAATACTTTTCATAATCAATTAGTATTAATCAAACAAAAAGTCCAAACATTTGCTGGTTTAGAGCTTTTCAATTGTGAGGATTTGCTTTGATTTACTAAATGGTAAACTGAACATTTTTAGGTTTGGTGTTCGCCATTTTCACTTGACTACTTTATTTAATCATTTAATTGGATGATATTAATTACCCGTATGATTATTTGAGGAAAAACAGCAAGAAAAATCAAAAAATCAAATCAATCTTTATGAATGCGGTAAAAAAAAAACTAAGACTTTGTGATTCCACAATTGACTATTGTCTGAGCATGTTCTCACAAAATACAGGGTTTGTGCTTTCTGTCTTTACCAAACACACCCTCTATCTCCTCTGTGTATTTTCACAGAATCAGTGTTCAAGTTACTGTATGTGGGTGTAACAGCAAAAGGTCCAGAATCAATGCATCTCATGAGGGCAGGAACCGAACCCTAATCTCCTTTGAGGCATGCTGTGTGTATAATGCTCAAAAGCTTCTTCCTAATTCACTCCACAGATGTTTAACACCTAAGAACCAAATGCTGTAGTCAGTCAGCATAGGTAAAGACAATAAGAAAGAGAAAGAGCATAATCTGTGATCTAGACACGCACAAGTAAACAAGACAATGATCTTATTGTGAGCCTTCTCTCACAATTATGTCCTTGTTGTATTTTCTATTGCATGGGCTGCTTTGTTACTAACACTCAAATCAGTAGATGATTAATGCGATCAAACACTGACACCTCGTTCAACACTCCATCGTCTGTGTTTGATGGGTCTTTGTTGAGGGGAAAATGACTTCTGGTGATATCCACCGAAAGCCAGACCGATGAAAGAAAGCAGATCTGCCTTAGTGAGGCTTTAATCTCACAACAGGAAACATTTAAGGCCTGTTGAGCAAATGTAAGGGGGGGATCTGAAAGGCTTAAATGTGACCAGGGGCTATAAATCAGGCGCTGTCTGCACCATACCAGGCTCCATGTTATGATAACACAACATGACAAATACTATTACAAGCCCATCTGTAACAAAGTGAAAACAGAAACACTTAGGAACAGTACAGCAGAAAGCAGATGTTCGCCCACTCAGCTTACAGAAAGCAAGAGAAGGTGTGTATTTTGGTGGTCTGCTGATTAATGAGACAAATCTATGTCAAACTGCGTGTCCCTCCCGGGGGAGAAGAAGCTGTCCTGAGCTGGGTATTTGCATTTCAGTGAAAAACAACTGGGGCTGCAGCAGTTGTTCAAGGAAGAGTATCTTTAAGGAGCTTTTTTGTTTTGCATAATAGAAATCATGAGAAATATCACAGACTCATGTTCAAATGTGTCTTAGATAGATAGATAGATAGATCGTACTTTATTGATCCCAAATTGGGAAATTGTCTTTCAATGCTTCAAGACACTATCTTTAAAATAAATGTGATATCTCCGTGCAAATATCAGTCACTTAACACAATTAAAAATGCAGAATACCACAGGAAAAACGCACTTTTTGGTTCAGGACTATTAGAATCAAACTGCATTATCAGAATAAAATCCTATTTAGGAGTTAGGGCAGGACCATCTGGAGAATCCCATCAGGGGTCCTTGGATTAACAGTCACACAATAAATCCGGATCTGATCAATATCCATTAATGCGTATTAAAAAGAGAATAAATGAGGGTCAATAGTGGGTCAGAGCAGTCCTGGGAACCTCGCTGTGTGCTGTCACCTCTTGTTGCTTGAGCTGTGCTGAGATTTGAGCTCAGTTTGCACAGCTGACGCCAGGCTGCCTGTGACTTTAGTCCTCTTTATCAAAAGAAAAAAACACAGATGGACTGCAGGAAGATCAAAAGCCATGGAAAACAGTGCACCGAGTGTTTGCACACATTAGTGAAGGTAAATAATCGCGGAGGGAGCAGCGCAGTAAACACATGGGGATGCTCCTTTGGGAACACCACTCTCAAAGCCTGAGCTGGTGGCAGGAAAGAAAAAGTAGCCCTATTAAGTTATTTTTTGAGCACTGTTGCCAGAAATACAAAGCTCAGGTCTGATGATGCAGGTGATGAAAGTGCTCCGTGGCACCTTCAGTGGCAGCAGGTGCCTGTGGCCAACCCTGTGGCAGATACCTTCATTCCTCTAACATGCTGAGGCTTGAGATTAACCGATCAGACCTCAGGGCACAATGTGATCACGCCAAAGCACGGAGGACTATTGGCCCGTATGCATTTGAACCCTCATATCCTGTGTAATGCATGTTGCCTATACACACGCGCGTAATAACCCTGCTCTGCCGGTGTTTGAACACAAACACAGTCAAAACAGTCTGCTGAGTCTGCACTGAGCGCTAAATGTCAAAGAATTCAAATGTTGTTGGTTTCCAAAGATTGAGTTTGTTAAACCTTAATAAATACAGTAGCCCAATAACATACCATAAATTATCAAATTGTTATATCTTCTCATATTATGTAATGACGAAACATTTAGAGCAGCATTAGACCAAATGTTCCAAAAATAAATAACACAAATAGTGCCAAACACGTTGTGCGTAAAATACATTATCTTGTATGGCCAGGTATGGCACCTCACATTTCTTGGAGACGAATCGTTTTAGTAAAATTCCTATCAGTAGGAGTAGGCTAATTATACTCTATATATACACAATTTATCCCAACATCAAATCACAGCAGGTTACAGTACTAATTAAGCAAAACTCTTGGGTTAACAAAAGTAAGTTTTTAAACATGACACTGCATTTACCTTCGGATAAAAGTGATACAAATCAGTATTACCTGTTGATCGGTTCATGAAAACTTCCTCTAGTCACGGTAGAAACAGTCCATGTCCTCGGTTTTCAATTCACAACGTGACGCACGCAACTCACCAGTCAACCCCCGAAACCGTCCCCTCCCACTGAGATACATTATTCATGTCCCAATCCCCGCCCTGCCCGGGAACTACTGGGATAATGAGCCTCACACTGTTCCCTTGAAGTTGAACAAAAACCATTAACTCTATTGTTCTTACATTAGGACATTTCTTGAAACTGTTAAAAGTGAAGAATAAAAACCTACCAGTTTCATTTTATCAGCTGAAAGCTTTGGTCGTTTACAAGAGTATAGCCACATTCAATTTGCAGAACAATATATAATACTGTTTTATAAGATATCATTCTAAACATTAAAATAAAATACTTTCAATGTATGGGAAATGCTTAAAAATCCAGGTAGTTTTCATACAACCTTTCACTCAAATCAAATCAAATCAAATCAAGTTTTATTTATAAAGCACATTTAAAAGCGATTTTTGGTCGAGCCAAAGTGCTGTACATGTAATAAAAACACATTACTACAATCACAATAAAAGACAATAAATTACAACAGATATATATAAAAAATAAAAACACAAGGAAAAGTCAGGAGTCGTGCTCCGCTCTAACTAGAAGGCCAGAGAGAAGAAGTGTGTTTTTAGTGTAGATTTAAAAACCCCTAGGGTCTGGGCCGACCTCACATGGAGGGGCAGAGTGTTCCAGAGCCTAGGGCCAGCTGCTGCGAAGGCTCGGTGCCCTCGGGTTTTAAGCCTGGTCTTGGGCACTACCAGCAGCAGCTGGTCAGCAGACCTTAAAGCTCTGGCTGGGGTGTAGCGATGGAGGAGTTCAGCTATATAGGCCGGAGCCAGCCCATTTAGTGCTTTGAAAACAAATAAAAGGATTTTAAAATCAATTCTGAACCGAACTGGAAGCCAGTTGAGGCCAGAATTGGGGTGATGTGGTCACGCTTTTTGTGGCCAGTCAGCAAACGTGCAGCTGCGTTTTGGACTAGCTGCAGGCGTTTAATTGAGGCCTGGTCCATACCCACATACAGAGCGTTGCAATAGTCCAGTCTTGAGGTTACAAAGGCGTTAATAACCCTTTCTAAGTCATTAAAAGATAAATACGACTTGGTTTTGGCCAATAGTCTTATTTAAAAAAAGCAGGATTTGACTACGGTGCTGACCTGTTTGTCGAATTTAAAAGTGCTAGTGAAGGTCACTCCAAGGTTCATGACCGAGGGGAGGATGTTTTTTTTGAGAGAGCCCAGAATATCAACCGGAGAGGCTGGAGGTTGGTGTCCAAAAAAGATGACCTCAGTCTTGCTCTCGTTGAGGTTGAGAAAGTTTTTGCTCAGCCAGGATTTTATCTCTGTTAAGCAGTCCATCAGCTGCTGTAGTGAGTGTTTGACATTTGCTTTGAGAGGCAGATATATCTGTACATCGTCGGCGTAGCAGTGGAAGGGAATATTGTGTTTAGTGAGAATTGAACCTAGGGGCAGTATGTACAGTAGAAAAAGGATGGGGCCCAGAATCGAGCCTTGGGGAACCCCAGGTAAGAGGGGCTTTGGCAGAGGAGAAGGCACCTAGCTGTACCGAGAAGCTACGGTCTGTCAGGTAGGACCTGAACCATGCAAGGGCAGAGCCTGTGATGCCAGCGGACTGTTCAAGCCGTGACAACAGGATGCTATGGTCCACAGTGTCAAAGGCAGCTGTCAGGTCTAACAGCACCAAGACAGCTGGGCTACCTGAGTCGGCGGCTAGGAGCAGATCATTAAAAACTCTTAAAAGGGCTGTTTCAGTACTGTGCATGGGTTTGAAGCCAGACTGAAACTTTTCACTCACAAAGACACACCTTGAAAACCAACACTGTAAGTAAATCTGATCTGATAAAGACCCATGGTTTCAAACAGCACTCAACACGTGAGACAGAGAAGCAGGTGTGATGATTGAGATTTAAAGGGAAAATAAATTGAATGGGGATGTTTTCTCGGTCCTTTAGTAAAAAGCAAACACGCCACCAGGGCCACAAACAACAGGTGCCTTGGGTGTCAAATGTGCCCTGATACTATTTCCCTTCATCAGAAAACCTATACAAAGGCATTACATCAGCAGAATTGAATGCCTGAAGACTGTCATCAAACATGCATGGAGTAAACACACAGACTGTAGTGTAGACATATATTATTAAATGAGGCTCTACCTCGCTGCATGCCTTCTTGAGGTGTCATCTGACGATGGAAAAGTAGTAAGCTGACACTGTAAAACCTGAAACTGTTGGTTGCTCGCTGGCCGGTAAACAAAAAAGAAGAGAGCTACAGTCATCAGGAGACAAAAGTAAAGTGCAATGGACCGAGGCACGCAAAACGGTTTCATTACAGAACTCGTCAAAGTGAAGAAAAGCAGAATTGTACATTTCTTCCTCCTCTGCATACTGTTGATCTGCTCTTGAGCAAGAGCTCTGAGACAATCAAGACAATCAAGACAATCACATGACAAACTTCACATATGATTTTCAGTTGACCCGTCATAAGAAATATGACTTAGTCCACGTTACAGTTGTTTAATGTCTGTTGTTTTTAGAGGAAAGTTGAAAATGGTTTTGTATAATTACACAGGTTATTATTGTGATGTTTGGGTTTATGTGATCATAAAACATGTATTACCAGTGAACATGCATGTCCTAATAACGTCCGGAATAGACATAGAGGAATGTGTCTTAGAATACCATGAGTGTAACTGTATGAGCAGCCCCTTGTGTAGTATGTCATGTCTTTAAAAAATTAAATTAGAAGGGAAAAAAAGAAGAAGAAAAGAAAAATGGCTTGGGTTTAAGACCTGCCTGCTTTACAAACTGGAGGTTTGAGGATTTTAAAGATGTGGGCATTTAATAGGTAGTTGAGGTCTAATGAAAGATGCTTTATTGCTTATGGAAATGTAGAACAACATTTTTTTAGAGCTTGGGACATACTAGGAAATCTGTCACTTGTGAGCCCACCAACTTTATGGAAGTGCATAAGTAAATGGCTGGAGTACCCCTTTCAGAATATAAAAAAGGGAAGCCCCCGTGGCTCTCAGGGGTTTTAGAAGCTTACCACAGAGTAGGCTACATTGCAACATCTGCAGTGGTTAAAGTTTGGTTGACCTTTGTTGTATCTCTCTATGTATACTGTCTAATAAAGTAAAAGAAAAGGCCCCCTTAAGTAATAGATTAAGAAAACAAAAGCAGAGCAGAGTTGAGAAGATCCATAATCATTAATCAGAAGCATTTTTCGGTACCACTTTACAATAAGACTATACCCTTATAAAGGATTCATAAAGGGTTTATAATTAGGTTATGAATTAGGTTGTAAACACTTTATTTATCATTAAGAACCATTTATAAACAGATACCAAGGATGCTGGCTGAGGAAGAAGACGAAGTAAGCTAGGTAGCCAATATAAGGCTTAGCAGTACAGATACATGTGGGCTCACTATTTGGCAAGCAACCGGTCACAGTTGCCCTGTTTATCTCATGTCTTATAAAAGCATATTAATGATTTATAAAGTGTTTTACAACCTAATTAATAAATGAATTACAAACTATTCGTAAACCCTTTATAAGGGTAGTCTTATTGTAAAGTGGTACCCTTTTTTCTGCAGGGTTAATGGCAACACCAGTTAATAGCTGCCCAAGTGAAACCCCCTTCCCCTGATATAAAACAAGCATATCACATCAGAGTTTTATCTTGTTTGCATTCAGTCACAAAAGTTAAGCCCGCCCTTTACAGAATTGTTTTTGTTAAACAATAACATTTGACATTGATGTCAGTTTCTGGCATCAAACAATCTGAGCTCTTAATTCATATCAGATAAGGATACTTTATTTTTTTTAGCTTTAAAGTGCTGTATGTGTATACTCACATTTTTTTGTATTATGTGGGATTATCTTTTTAATTGTACAGACGTCATGTTTAAGCAAATGGAATTAAAAGGAAACACACACCTTAAAAGAGAGGTTACTTCAGTGCGTTCAGCTGAGAAATGTTTGGTTGAGGACCAAACTGGTTTTGCAACTTCAACTGAATGCATTGCAGTCTCATGTGCTGGTATTTTGTAAACTTGCCACACAGCAGACTTCACTGTGGAGAGAAACTTGTTTTACTCAAACACAGAAAACATAGATAGAGAAAGAGAGAGATAGAGGAGGGAGAGAGGGAGAGAAAGAGAGAGCACTCAGGTTAATATAATCAGAAATTCTGGTCCACAAGGTCAAAGCAATATTTACTCTTGTGGTTCTCTCCATGTGCCCGGAAAACCTTTTGTATTTCCTTTCCCCTTCATACTTATCGGTCATGCAATGTTAGTCAAGGCGTCATTTGTTTACAGTTATGATAATGACAAAGGAATTTTCTCCAGGAAGTAGCAACAAAAAGTAGAAGAAAATACAAAGTTTTTGTTGAGTGATCCAATGTAACATGGGAAAAAAGTGCCCCAGTACTCAGATCCTTCAAAGAAATTAAAACAGAAATACCACAATGTAAAATTATAATCACTCTGATGGTTCAGAGCACATCGGTTCAACAACAATTTGTTAAGAAAGAAAAAAAAACTTAAACGTTTTCAAAGGCAAATCTCTCTAAAATCTTGCTTTTGCTTACTGAAATCTTTGAGATTTTGTTGATAAAACCAATTAGGAAGTTTAGATTGGTAAGTGACCAGATGCTTTTTGGTAAGAACAACAAGCCAGAACTGTTGGTTTATTTTCTTTTAACTTATCATAGAGATTGTTTGTTTATATTTTAGTAGTGAGATGTGTAGAGTTGTAGAAAATGGACCCTGTTAAATAAATGTAGTGGAGTGAAAACTACAATGTTTTCCTCTGAACTGAAGCAGAATAGGATGATAAACGATCAGAAGTAACAATAAAGTAAAGTGCCTTAAAATGTTACTCCACCACAACCGAATGCACAGATACAGATGTTCAGGAAGTGCGTACGTGGCTGGTTAAAACTTCTTTAAACTACACCACCATACTGCAGGGCATTTCCCAAACCAATAGGCAGAGA